TTTTAGGCTGGGAGGTTGTTGTTGGTTATTACCTGCTGGTGTTCAACTTGGATTAAATGGCCTCCCTTGTAACACCGTATGCTGGTGTTTACTTCAAGTGTGTCACAGTGAATTGATGGCGGTCCACCGTTGAGCAGATGGTTGGTATTTGTGCTGATGAAAGTTTAAACAATATGCTCTCACTCCGAATCTGTCCAGGCTCTAACGCTGCAGACGCTTCATGCTTGGTTCAGCCTATAGGCTTGGATTTTGTACAAGAAAGTTTAAACATTTACCTTTGTAAAACCTGCAGATAAAAGATGAAATGTTTGAATGAAATGTTGAACAAGTGTGGAAAAACAGATAACAGAGAGAAGGTTTAGTTGTGTAGAGAAGATCGTCAAAGCTTTTGGGGAGGAGATAAATACTGAGACAGAGTTTCATGTTCATTGCTTCTTCGCAAAGACAATACCAAAGAAAAGGTCAAAAATGTAAACTCACTGGGAGATGTGTCTGGTAGGAAGAAAATGCACTTTCCTTTCGGGTGTTTCTGCCCTGTTTATTTTAATCATTTAGACCTCTGAGGTTGCTATTTCACATCACTTTTGATTTTTTTTTCTTTTACTTTCATGTTCAAAGGGAAGTATCTGGGATATTTTTTGGAGAAAAGATAACCCAAGTGCACACACACACACACACACACACACACACACACACACACACACACACACGCACACGCACACACACACACACATCAAAAAACACACACATCAAAAAACACACACATAAACGGTCTGCTTTGTCCTCAAACACACACTTTCTCTCTTTTACCTTTTGTTTTCATGCACATGCAAAAGCACACAAATTCACATGGACAAACACACACAACCTACATTGATAGGTCATTTCACCACAAGCTAACATAGCTAAGTGCAGAGAGCTGATGCTAAATACGGAGAAAACTGAGCAGAATACCAACGACTCTCAAGATCATGCAATACAAACAAGCAGGGTGACGATTCACAGCAGGCAATAAGGCAGTGGTTTTCAAAGACTAGTTCAAGACCCGAAGGTGGCTTAGGGGACACTAAGAATAGGTTTTAATAGAATTGCTTTTTTAAAAGGAACTGAAATTCATTGAGGTTGTGCTTTTGAAAGTTATTGGGAAGGTATCAAATGGAATATCGCTAGGTTTCAAGCATTATTAACTCAAATTCATTACTTCTTCACCTGAACCAAGAACAAGAAAAAAAAAAAAAGATTCAGAATGAGAACTCCAAAGAGTTTGAGATATAACCTTAAAAGCACAGTCTCCCATGGTCTTAAGTCTGGAGTGTGAAACCACCAACAAACCCTGATCGGAGGACCTAAGAGATCTGCTGGGAGTGTAAGGCTGTAAAAAGTTCCGAGAGGTAGGCTGATGCCTGTCCATGCACGGTTTTTAAAGTAAGAACAATAATCTGGGGTGCCGATACCCTAGCGGTTGTGACGCGCACCCCATGGAGGCAACAGTGCAGCGGCTGAGGGTTCATATCCCACCTCAGCTCTTTGCTGCATGTCATCCCCCATTCTCTCCTCCCAACATTTTCTGTCACTCTTCAGATGTCTTAACTAATAAAGGCAAAAAAATATCCCCAAAAATATCTTTAAAAGAAAAGTAAGAACAATAATCTTGAATTGTATTCTAAAGTTTATGGAAAGACGTTGTAAGGAAAACAGAATTGGTGTTAAAATGGACCTTTTTGAGGACTTGGTTAATCGTCTGGCTGCAGCATTTTGTAGTAGTTGTAAGCTTAGCAGTTATGCTAACAAGTGTCGCACACAACCTGCATGTATAGTAATATATTGTTAAGCCAATTGTAAGGTGTTCTTGTCAGGTTGGGGTTCCCAATTTTTTTTCAACCAAATTACGTTGAAATCTAACGTCATTGGTATTGGGAAGCTTTAGCATTCATCTTAATTGTAACCTAGCAGATTTCAGGGGGATTTTTAAATGAAACATTTAACATTGATCAGTGGTCTAAATCTTTAGAGATTATCTCAACTAAAGAAAATAGTCAGTCTGGGAGGCACAATGAAAGATTCATTCCTCCAATTTAAATGCAGAATGGATGCTACATTAGAGGTTGTTTCATCGTCATTTTCTTTGTCTTTGCTTACTACTTTACCCCACCTCTGCACAGATGCAGCTATACGCTTTACAAAATACACCCTTGAATTTGATGTGTCAGAGAACCTAAGTGGACTGCATGTATAACATGCATCGTTTTGATTGTGGGCTCATTTGTTTTATGTTGGACTTGTGTGTGCGCTTGCAATCCTCATACATATTTTAGAGGATGACAGATTCTTTAACAGAAGAAGCCTTTCAAGAGACTACACACATTTTCCAGTAATTAAAATGTCACCTTCAAGAAACTGCAGTGGTTTATGTGTGGTAACTGAGATGAAGACAGGCTGGTGTGTAAGGGAGGGAGGGTGTGTTTGAAGAATTAAAAAAAGGAGTCCACAAAGACAAAAGGGAGTCAATATAGGGGAAAAAAGACAAGTAAATTAAGCAATTAATTTGGAACAAAATCTTCTGTCCATGCTTTTAATTATGAGATTAATTAAGTAAATCCAGGTTCCAATTTTTTTTAAAAGCTGACAATATTTTCACTACTGATAACTTTTCTTTTCCCAAGACTTGCCAGGCTTAATAGATTGTGAAAGAATAGATTTTCTCATGAAAAATTGACATATATTATCTTATGATGGATCCCTGGTGATTTATAAAACACACTCTGAAACTTTACAACATTCTTAAGTACCTCAATGAAGCAGCCACAGGGGACTTAAACGAACAGTAGCTGCAGCCTCAGCATAGGATACAATCCTCCTGTGTGTTATCGTATTATTGATGGCAGGCTATGAATAGCAGGAAAGTCAATTTAAGAAAATAAATATAAAATATGAAATGATTAAAATGGAGCTGCTAGTGCTATAGAAAAGCTGTTTGAGGATTAATGTCATGAAGATAATTTATACTTTTTTTTTTCCAAATCAGCCTTTGTTATGTGTGTGACTGCCAACCTGAGCAAGCACACAGAGCAGACTGGGAAACTCAACGCTGCTGTCACTGCATATTGATATAAGTTGTAAGGATGTGTGTGAGGGAATACAGGAAGTATCATTGTCGTTATTTGTTAGCATGTAAAGGTTCACCACATATGTGTTGAGCACCTTGTCGGGCATCGGCCATCCACTGTCCCACTGTCATGTTTGCTGTTTCATGTCTTCATTATGAATTGCCTTTGGGCCTTCAGATGTGATTGGTGAGCCTTCAGATGTGATTGGTGAGCCTTCAGATGTGATTTCCTAATAACCTGCAGCTTATTAGCTCAGCTGGCTGGAAGAACTGACTGCCAAAGTGTCTGCATCCTGTTTGAAGTGTGTGCATGATTGTGCAGTCTTAACAAACACAGAAATACAGTTTCTGTCAGTTTCAATTCGATAGCACTTTAATCCGCTTTGGATGAATTGTTAAAGTACTGACATCATTTTTGCATCAGTGCTCACATTTTGAGATGTCAGAAATGTTTTCAGTGTAGCTAAGAATTACTTGGTACGCAAAGAACAAGGGTCTTGATATCTTATTTTAAAATGCTTTCAGAAGAAATAGAATTGAGAAGACTAAGAAATGATTCATTATAGTAAAGAACATTGTTACTGTTAATGACCGACATTGAATATGACTGAAGCACTTTTTAAAGTATTATTTCGTGTTCAAACACAGTGGAAGAGAATTGTGGGAGGTTTAACATTTCCCAAATTAGAGCTGTGTATGTAGGCTTTTAGCTTAATTAGGCAGTTACAGCAAGACGTATATGCTTCAGATCATCTTTTTTTGTATTGTGTGTATTTTAAGTAAGGGGGTCTTTAACTGTTGTGACACTAAGGTTTAGACATAAGAACAAAAAGAACAGGCTTTTTTTTTTTTTACATTAACAGCGAATATTAATCCTGGAGCCGACTGTCTATGGTCTGATGAAATAGCCTTTGGGAGCGATGGCCAGTTCAAGGGTTCTTGTGTAGCTAGCAGTTAGCAATAAACTACTTCCAGCCAAGATTCCCTTTTCCGTCCATTGCCATTGTTAGCAGTCTGACTAGCAACTTGATAATAGAGAATGGAGTTGATTTACGTACATGCACTTAATTGTTTTCAGACATTAAAGTTAAATTGATGTAAAATAAATGCAGCAGGAGGTGATCAAATCCTTCAATCTTTACTCCCACAGATGGCACAGGTCAGTCTAGAGTGGATATTTCCACAGGTTTAGTCACATTAGATTTTCCACATGAAGTCATGATCCCAAGAGGGTAAATAACCATTTAGAGATTACATTTGAAGTTTTTCAGGGAAATATCTCCACAGTGGTTTTTGGTTAGCGGTAAAATTAGGTCCTCACATACATTTTTCCACGAGGATCAATCAGTATTACTGCATTGTAATTCAGGTTAAAAAATCAGCCATAGTTAGCTTGCTTGCTGTTATTGAACCTAAAAAAAAAATTGCTTCTTAAAGGCTATAAACTTGAAAAGGTGCAAAACCAAGACGTTGACAAGATAAACATTCTTTCCCATGAACTTCAAAATAATAACGTTCTCATTGTGAGCAGTTAGCATACTGATGTTAACATTTGGCCAAAGCATTGCTGCACTTCAGTACAGCCTTACATAACTGCCTGCAAGAGTGTAGTTCTAGATTTTGTACACATAATGTCACTCACTGCACTGTAAGTATGGATGGTATTACCAAAAGTCATTGTAGTTAATGTATTCTAATTGCTCCAGCCACGTTGCAATATACTAGAAAGAAGAACATTTTATATATGTTTTAATGATGACATGAATGGAATTCATTGGGTTACACATAGGACTAGATGTGCAGGCTTGATGTAGTCAATAGAAATCAAATGTAGGCACATGGCTAAACATATCATGTAATAACCCCTTATCTTGTCTCACTCTCTCTCTATCAGATCTCTGGATCCATTTCCCTGAGCCGTCTATCTTTTCAGCCCATCTGCCAGTCACTGCAAGGAATCTTCATGTTGTGTTTAAATAAATCACAGCACCCAGATAGAGGTAGGCATGGTTTTTCGCACAATGCTTTCACTCTGCTATTAATCCAAACAGTTTTAATCTCTGCTAATTGAAGGATACACAAATGGACCCTGCTGGGAACAGTGACAAGGAGCTTGCACAGTTGTTTCTTTTTTTTAAATTACACCCGAAATATACTTAAGCTGTTATTGCCAATTACGTTTAATGATCTCCTTTGGGAAATAAGATAGATATAGGATTTAACGTTGTGTTTTGATCCATATCTAGAATCTCACACAAAATACACTCACTCTCGACAACTGGACCTCAGCAAATAAAAAATGTCTTTCCTTTGGAATTCAATAATCCATGTGTGTTAAATAAATTGTAATTGGTTTAGGTAAACAGGAGCGCGTAAGCAAAACATAGTACATATGCTTGCACCTGAGTTTATGTGCATGTGAGTGTAAGAGATAGAAATCAAGTGGGTGAATAAAAATGTACCCATGTGCCCACATACCTAATTTACCATACTGATAGGAGGTTGAGTGCACTTATCCACATGTGAATGTAAATGAGTTACTGTGTGTGTCTCTGCAGCTGTGTGTATGTCTGATGAGAGCAGAACTGTGGTCCAATGGGGTTGTTCTCTTTTACAGACATATTGGCAGAGCTGTAAAAGCACAGAGGCCAGACAGGGTTGCAGGCAGGCGGCAAGGCGGTGCAGTAATGCCGCTAGTAATACTAGTTAGATGGGGGATGGATGGATGGCTGTAAATCCAACAGGAACAAATAAATTATGACACTTGCCTGTTGCTGCCTGAAGTGAAAGTATTGCAACATTATATAAAAGGATTTCAACATTTACTGTAACAGCAAGATCTCTGTACTGCATTTAGCAACAATGATATTTTAGCTTTGTTTGGTAGACATGGGGATGCTAACAAACATACAGATATTGAGATCTCTGTGTAAAGTGATTTTAGAAGGCTGAGATTCAGTGTCTGACCTCATATGTAATGCACCAACTGCCTCTAGTTATTCAGTGTTATGTTTTCAATTTCATGTCAGAAGTATTGACCGGGTTCGGGGAGAAATATTTTAGACAGTGGAGAATATGTCAGTGAGCCTGTGTGAAAATGGTGTGGTTTGACCCTTCAGACCACACTTTAACACCAGAACTAAAGGGCGGCAGTAGCTTAGTCTGTAGGGACTTGGGTTGGGAACCAGAGGGTCACCAGTTCAAGTCCTGGACCAAATATGGAAGTTGGTCTGGTAGCTGGAGAGGTGCCATATTACCCCCTGAGCACTGCCAACTGAAACTTCCCCTTGTGGGGATCAATAAAAAAGTAAATCTTAATCTTAAATCTATGTTTTCAGGGGCAACTAAAACATTGAAAAGCTTGATCCAGTCGTAAATATTTCAAAAACACAGGAAGTTCTTCATCAAAAGAGCTGCCACCCTACCCCTATTAATTACATCAAAGTCTAAGATCTGGGTGTTCTGAACAAAATAAAATCTGAATGCCCTACTATTGTAGGGCTCTGATTGACTGAGCATGGGATGGATGGATGGATTGATGGATGTATTTGTGCAAGTTTACAGAAAGGTGATATAAATATATTGTATGCACATACATTGTTTTGCTATGAGCTATGGCCCAATGCTATGAACTATTTGGGTGTGCAGGGCTTTTCTTTTAGGTAAGTCATTGACAAAGCAAACCTTGCCAGTTTGTCATTTTACTTAGTTGAGCAGCATAATGCATGCTAGCTACTTTGATTGACACCCAACATCCTGTAATAGGACTTTTGTCAATGCTAAAAACAATATATTAGGAGGACCTATTCTAACTTCTTAAAGACATAATCAGAGCTGCATGCCATTAAGGACCTGCTCCTTTGGACCTTTGATCATCTTCAAATAGTTAGTTACAGTAACTGCAGGCTGAAGGATGATAGATTCTCTGGTATGACTCTGTCTTCTTGTATGCTGAACTACACTGGAGTCAGAAGGTGGTGTGATTCTGCTACAGAGGCTCTCTCCAGCCAACCTATTACAGCGTATTAACTAGGCTTACACACAGAAGTGGTTTGAAAAAAAACGATTTCATTGCAGAACAATTTGTATCACTATTATGTTTTTTCTCTTTGCGTGTAGCCTTCCCTGCCTTTTCTTAACCGTTTTAATTTTTTTGTCAGCACCTAGGAGAAATGCCTGCCATGAGCAGTTTTGAGAGGCAAGGCAGGTTTTCTTTTATATATCACATTTCAGCAACAAGGCTATTCAAAATGCTTCACTCAAGACATCAAATACATCATGACAAAAGGGAAAACGACAAAATGTGAAAATCCCTAAAACAAACCACTAACAATCACAGAAAAGAGTAAACTTATCGGCTGAAACTTCCAAGACATATTATTACATTCTTGTTTCAACCTATGAGAATGGCAGAAATAGACACTCGTCCAACATCGATGGATGAAACTTTAGATAAGGCTTGTCCGATATTAAGCCAACTTTTTTAAGAGTTTATAATGTCACAAAATATATGGCTTACTTCTTATCTTCCGCAAAGTTTGAAGATTACTCAACATCTCTCCTTTGAACTATGTTACAAAACAGTCCATTTTTATTTCATTTTCCCCTGTGAAATCTTTAAAGATTGCACATTTGATTCAAATAAAGCATGCCGTGTGATATCTGAGCGCATCCAGCTTATCTAAGATTACTTATCTCAATGACTGAAGAGGATTGATGTCGAGGAATTCAATATTTAAAGTCCACACATTTAGAGCTTGAAATGCTAGAGTTCACAGAGCCTAGAAAAGATGGAATAGGTCACGGTGATTCCTTTGTGTATGTGAGTTGTATGTGTGTGGGCGGATGGTTGTGTAAAGCATACCCTTTGGGAAGTCCTTTTACAAAGAAATTGTTGAAGAACAATTGTCAGCCTTCCTAGAAATATTGCTGTTGTGCCAATGAAGCTGAGTTCTGTTGTGTTGGTGCACATCTCAACGTGTTTGTTCTTGCTTGTGTTTTCTTGTGATTTTCTTGTTTTCCTTGAAGCATTGTTTGTCATCTCAAGTTGTCTCAATATATTGACAAAGAATAATGTACAGTTCCATTTTGTGTTGTGCTTTCATTTAACACCAGGTGCGTAGGTCAATGTATAACTTAAGAAGTGTTACTTCTATAATGAATAAGTCGAATGTGTGAGAAATTATTGACTTGTCATTATTCATTGCCATCTAGTTTGGGATCATGTGCACATTTGTTAAATTAAATTGGAAAAAAAACATGCACACAGCATTTTTACCCCCAGATAGGTACACTCTGTTTTTCTGTGGAAATGTTCAGACATCTATCATAGGTTTCAAGCTGTCCTACTAGAACCCCTGCACCAAATATAAAAGGACAGACATAGAACAAAGTCTGATATCGCCATATATTAACTCAACACATTTACTGCTTATTTGGTCTGTTCATTCATTTTCCTCTGTAGATGGATAATCTTGGCAGTAGAATTAGTTAAGTGTGGAGATGCCAAATGGAAATCCACAATTATTCATGTATATTATTTACCAGTTGTTGGCATTAGTGAACTGTAGAACAGTGGCAAAGGCATTTGAGCATTTCTGCAAGTTTGCCTAGTCATCCCTTGCACCTGTTAGGAGATGCCATGAAATGGGTCCTAATTCTTTGCACAAAGTTGTACTTTTGCTTCTGGACAGATGCCAGATTCACATTAATTTAGGGTATGCAGCTCGGCTAACAGTCATATTCATGTTTCTAACAGGGGATGAGAATCTTTTAGCTACAAAATATTAAACAATGTAAAAGCTTGGCAGAACTTGCTATTATCTGGTCAATAGTGAACTATATACAGATACATCACATACTGAATTAAATATCCCCTTCTCTAGTTCTTTTTTATTCCTGTGCCATAATGTATCACCTCTAGCATTTACAATCAGCTCTCAACTCTTAGTGTGTCTTTGCATACCAGTACTTGCCTGTCTGCAAGCTGTGATCTTATAATGATCTGTTGACCACCTGGGATTGTAATTGAAAATGCACTGTACTCAGAACTGCTCTCTAAATGTGCAATAGCCCCCAAAAGACAGCTTTTTAAAAGTTGACTAAGGGACCGAATACATGAATGCATTACGAGATACTCATGAATTATTTTATTCACGTCCACTTTAAGATAAAAATGAATAAAAAATCTTGTTCTCCCTCTATCATTGTACTCACATGATGGTATGATACATTTGAAGAAAAAATGGACTGCATTGGAAAAATAGTGTTCACATGATAACCAGGGCTTTTATTAAAGTGTGTTTCCCATCATGAATAAATCCATAGTTGGCTAAAATCTTCCTTTGTGCAAAAAGAAAGAGACACATCTATGCTTATTGTTTTTGCCATTTTGTTCTTTACAAAGCTCAAAACCCATCTAAATATATTATCTCAACTCTTCATCTTGGTCTTGTCAGGGACATAAACAATCTCACAGCTTAAGCTATTTTAATCCCTCTCTGCAACACACAAATCAAACATGTAAACATTGATTATGGTTTCCAAATGCACCCTCCCTGTGCTGTCTCATCTCGTTTCACTGGTGAATCTAAATAAGGGGAACTTACACAAAGGTATCCTCTTGTAGTTTAGTAAGTGCGTATAAACAAAAGAACTCACAACTATTTATTTCGGTACAATCTGAGCATTGTGGTATTTTACAGTTGTAAGCTCCCACATTTTAGTACAAGGCAGTATTACTGTAAGTGGAAGATTGGTGATATTGTATTATTCCAGTTATTCACTGCAGTTTGTGAAATAATGGAAGCTAAAATGAGGGATTGGACGGTGCAAGAAAAAAGCTCAGAACAGAGCCAAACATAACCTTTATAGTTGACTTATTTCACCTGTACATAAACAGTGTGCAGTCCACAAACTTGTTAAAATTGTTATTATGACATATTTGATAGGTACAGCTCATTTCAAGCACATTTTTACAATTTCACTCACGGTACTTTTA